TTCATAATATTCATGTTGTTTCTTGCAGAAGCTCTTAACAGGCAGTGGAGTTATCAATATGCAGTTGAAACTCAAGGGAGGGCCCTCTTATTATCTGGTGCCAACTTTACCAGCCATGTTAGAATCCAGAGAAAGCCAGGGGAAAACACAGAGGTGGAGCCCTAGCCCCACAAAGTGAGTCCAGTAGCACCCACCCATAGTTTGGTTCTTAAGAGTGTTTATATAAAACCATGGGTTTTAGTAAAACTTGTTTAATGTTTTCCTACAGGTACTAGGGAGGGAAATTGAAAGGAACAATTTTATTTATTTATTTATTTATTTATTTATTTATTTATTTACTTATTTTTTGGTCTTTTCGAGACAGGGTTTCTCTGTGTAGCCCTGGCTGTCCTGGAACTCACTCTGTAGACCAGGCTAGCCTCAAACTCTTGAACTCAGAAATCCGCTTGCCTCTGTCTCCCAAGTGCTGGGATTAAAGGCGTGCGCCACCACCGCCCGGCTGAAAGGAACAATTTTAAATTTTAAGTTATAAAATTTAAAATTTAATTCGCTTTTAGCAGTTGTTCCTGTGCAGCCAATCCCTTATTCCACATTTTTATGTATTTAAGGTTGTTGGAGGGTTTTTTTTTTTGGAAAAATAAATGAGCTCATTTAATTAATGTTTTGTAATATGTTATTTCATATATATGTGTGTGTGTATGTATGTATACATGTATATACATATATGTGTATGTATACATGTGTATACATATATGTGTGTTTGTACATGTATATATACACATATATATGTATGTATGTATATACACATGTATAAATATACATACATATGTGTATGAAAGATAGGAGAGACATTAATTCCCCAAAGTTGGCAAACAGAGATAAAAGTTTCATACATGTAAGTGGGACTATTGTCTGTTTTGTTTTGGGACCCTCATGACAAAGCCGTTAAACAGCCTGAGCAAGTAACATGTTTGAGCAGTAGCAAAGATGAAGCCTGAAAAAGTATCAACACAAACATGAACAAATTTCAAAGGAATTTATATGAGCTATATCATCTGCCAAAGAAAATGAATAAGGCCATGGGCTTTAACTCTTCTTGGGATGAGGTCTTCACTGCAGCCCACGTGTCACTGTCATGGTTTCACACAGGGCTTTGATGGGGGTTCTGAAATTCAAAACTTAAGAAGTCTTAATGCACTGGGCAGTGGTGGTGCACGCCTTTAATCCCAGCACTTGGGAGGCAGAGGCAGACGGATTTCTTTCTTTTTTTTTGTTTTGTTTTTTTGTTTTGTTTTGTTTTTCGAGACAGGCTGTCCTGGAACTCACTCTGTAGACCAGGCTGGCCTCGAACTCAGAAATCCACCTGCCTCTGCCTCCCAAGTGCTGGGATTAAAGGCATGCGCCACCACTGCCCGGACAAAAAGAAGTCTTTTATTTTTTATAAATCTTTATTTTTAAAGATATATTTTTTATGTATATGAGTATATTGTAGCTGTCTTCAGACACACCAGAAGAGAGCATTAGATTCCATTGCAGATGTGGGTGCTGGGAACTGAACTCAGGACCTCTGGAAGAGCAGTCAGTGCTCTTAACCGCTGAGCCATCTCTCCAGCCCCCAAAAGGAAGTCTTAATGCTTAATCAGAACCACTTTACCCAATGAGCCATCTCACTAGGCCCAGTTTTTGGTTTTGTTTTTATTTCAAAATTTTATGTGTATGGGAGTTTTGCTTGAATATATATCTGTGCACCAAATAGGTGCCTGATGCCCAAAGAGGCCAGCCAGAAGAGGGCATTGGATCCCATGGGGCTGGAGTTACAGACAGTAGTCTATATGCCATATGGGTGCTGAGAATCAAACCTGGGTCCTCTATAAGAGCAGACAGTGCTTTTAACTGCTGACCCATCTTTTCACTCCCTAATCCTGATTCTTGACATAGGCAGGGACCACTTGTGCTGGCTAGTTTTATGTTAACTTGACACAAGCTAGAGTTATCTGAAAGAAAGTAACTTGAATTGAGAAAATGCCTCCATAAAATCAAGCTGTAAGACATTTTCTTAATTAGTGATTAATGGGGGAGGGTCCAGCCCATTGTTGGTGGTGCCATCCTTGAGCTGGAAGACTGGGGTTCTAAATGAAATCAGGCTGGCTGGGTGTGGTAGTGCACTCCCCGAACTTGGGAGGCAGAGGCAGGTGGATCTCTGTGAGTTCAAGGCCAGCCTGGTCTACAGAGTGAGTTTCAGGACAGCCAGGTTATATAGTAAGACCCTGTCCCAAAACAACAGAAGAGAGGGAGGGGAAGGGGGAGTAGGAGGGGGGGAGGAGGAAGAAGAAGGGAAATAAAGAAAGAAGGAAAGAAAAAAGAGAGAAAGAGAAAGAAAGAAAGAAAGAAAGGAAGGAAGGAAGGAAGGAAGGAAGGAAGAAAGAAAGAAAGAAAGAAAGAAAGAAAGAAAGAAAGAAGGAAGGAAGGAAGGAAAGAAAGAAAATACTGAGCAAGCCATGTGGATTAAGCCACTAAGCAACACCCCTCCATAGCCTCTGCATCAGCTCCTGAAATGGTCTTAACACTGACAAGAGTCAGAAACACTAGATAAAGACCAGAGAGGTTGCCATTCTGGCCCCATCATAAAACTTAACTGGAAGGATCAGGATTTTATGATCTTTATTAAGACAAGATTTATTAAGTCTCCTTCTCCATAGGGAAGATGTTTACTTTTTTCTTTTTAAAACGTGTGTGCGTGTGTGTGTGTGTGTGAGAGAGAGAGAGAGGGG